CAGCTAATTTTCTGTTTTATCATTTGTAGAGACAGCATCTCAATATGTTGCCCAGATCAGTCTCAGACTCCTGGGCTCAAGCAATTCTCCTACCTCAGCCTCTCAAAGTGCTGGAATTACAGGCATGGCCACCAAACCTGGCCACACAATATTTTCAAACTGCAGTTGATCCATAGCTAAAACCATGGATAAAATAAAAACTGTAAGCTGAATAATTTCCAGAGCTCCCACAAGGCTGGAAGATAGGTGAGTTCTGGTGACCCAGGGTGGTGACACCTCAATGATCTCCAGGGCATGCAGTTAGAGACACCAGAAATATCATGCCCCCATTGTAAAACTAAATTAGAACTAAAGACTACTGCAGGCCTACTCCAACAAAGTTTACAAATAAGCATGAAAAAGAACAAGCTGATAGATACTCAAATACAGTTGACCTTTGAACAATGCAAGGGTTAAGAGAATAGACCCCTATGCAGTCAAAAACCCCTGTATAACTTTTGATTCCCCCAAAATGTAATTACCAATAGCCTATTGTTGCCTGAAAGCCTTACCAATAACATAAAGTCAACTCATTTTGTGTATGTCTTATATACTATATTGTTACAAAAGCTACAGAAAATAATGAATATGGCAGAGAAATTACATTTACAGTACTGTACTGAAACTTCAAAACGAATATACTGCCTGAAATGGAGGGCAACCATAGCTTTAGACCTCAATCTGTAAAGGTACTTAAGAAGCAATTCAACTTTTTCTTACGTCATGACTTTCCTCTGCTTCTTGAGAACACTTCCGGCACCACTAGTAACCTTCGTATGGGTCTCATGGTATTATTCAAGGCTTATGTTATTGCACTAAACATGGTGAAAAATACTTCAGAACCGCAAGACATCACTTTTCTTGCAATATGCAATTTACTGGCAACACAAACTGCTCAGATATATTAGTACTACATGATGTCTTAAATGAATGCTCACACTTAAGCTCACTGCAGTATCAACAAAGGTGGCTACAAAAGTATTATGGCAGCACAGTATGTACTGTAATTTTATGCAGTTATGATTTAATATTGCACTCCCCAACCTTTTTGGCACCAAGGACCAGTTTTGTGGAAGACAATTTTTCCATGGACCCCAGAAGGTAGGGGGGTGGTGATGGAGGGGAATGAAACTGTTCCACCTCAGATCATCAGGCACACAGTTTCATAAGGAGTACACAAGCTAGATCCCTCACGTGCACAGTTCACAAGTTTCCACTCCTATGAGAATCTAATGCCACTGAGCTGACCAGGAGGTGGAGCTGAGGCGGTAACAGTGTCTGGTGCTCACTGGTCACTCACCTCCTGTTGTGCGGCCCCTTTCCTAATAGGCCACAGAGAGGTTAAGGATCTCCAAATTTTGCATTTGTTTACATTTCTCTTGGCTGTGAATAGTACCATGTATGGTCTGAGTTTATGAAAGTTTTGATAAATTTCTACTTTTCATAATAGATTTGTATCTATTTTATCATAGTAAATAATGAAACAAACTAGTATCTACACATATTTTATGCATTTATGATGTACCTTTTTAAAATTTTTAAAAATATTCCTAGGTTACGCAGTTTGTCTATGAATATTTTCTAATTAAGTCGCTACACGCAGTTTAGACCTGTGTAGTTCAAGAGTCTACTGTAATGGTCTGCCAAGACAAAGTCCAACAGTTAAAAAAAAAAATCCAGAATTCAGACACTTGATAATGTAACATGACAGTGTAATGTCAAAAGAGCCAGAATCCAATAAAAATTAATGTGCATACGAAAAGGTAAGAAATCTGACTCACAACCAGGAAAAATGAGTCAACAGAAACAGATCCAGTTCACGCAACAGAAACAGATCCAGAAATGACAGATATAATAAGCGGATGGACTTCAAAGAGTTATAAATACGTTTAAAAGATCTGAAGAGAAACATAAAAACAATGAGAAACATTAAAAAGCAGCAAATGAAACTGCCAGAGCTGGAAACTTGAAGGAAACAATTCAAACTGAAGGACAGTGAGAAAAAGCTAGGAAAAAGTGAGACTGTGACTTATGCAACAGTCCAATAAAGATGTCGTCTTACAGAAGGGGGCAGAAAAATATTCAATCACAATTTTTCAAACTTTAATAAAATACATAAGCCCATAAATCAAGGAGTGCAACAAACCCAAAGTAGTGTAAAGCAAGATAAACACACACACACACAATCACACCAAGACACATCTTACTCAAACTGCTGGAAACTATTCATAAACAGAAGTTGGAAATCTTAAAAGCACACATAGTAGTAAAATAAAATTAAAAATATGATGACTACAGATCTCTCTTCAGAAACAATACAACCCAGAAGACAAAATACAGATGGGGAAGAAACACTGTCAAAGTACAGTATTTCATCTGTATTTTGTATTTTGAAACCATCTCCATTTTTTCCATTGAAAATGCTTTCAAAAAGGAATGCAAGACGAAGATATTTTTAGGCCAAAAAGCTCTGGGATAATTCACCAGAAGACCTGCTTTACAAGAAATTATAAACTTTTTTGGGCTTTAAAATAAATAATGCCAGAACAAAATTTGAATCTGCAAAAGCAATGAAGAAATGAATCAGTGGATGGCTACTTCGACTAATGGAAATAGGAAGATAGTGGGTCATTTCCCACTGCAGTTAAGTACAGAAGTGAACAAAATTGTCAAAAAAAAAAAAAAAAAAAAAAACCAATTCAGTTACACTGAAAACTGATTAAAGTTGAACAACAAATTGAAAAATGTCTATTATTTAAAAACTGATCAGCTTCAGGTAAAAATGTTTGCGACACTATCACCTTCTGTGCCTGGTGATGCAACCATGCACCTGTCACTTGGCCAGTACAAATTGTAGCTTTGTAAGTTTAGGGCTGGATGCATGCAGCCAGGGCAGTGGACTTGATTCAGGGTCGGGGCAAGTAAAACTCATTGCTTTGCTGGATAAAAATGGCAGACTTGGTTCCAAAAGGATCAGGGAAAATCCATACAATAGTTTTGCTAGCTCAAACTTGCGGGCCTAGTTCATGGCCATTAACAGACAAATCGGAAATTAAACTGAGATCCTAGAAGTGGAAAAACCATAGAGAGGTTAAGTTAAGCTCCCACATTTACCTGATTGACTGCTAACATACAAAAAATTAGCCAGGCATGGTAGTGGTTGCCTGTAATCCCAGCTACTCAGGAGGCCGAGACAGGAGAATCACTTGAACCGGGAGGTGGCAGTTGCAGTAAGTCGAGATCATGCCATTGTACTCCAGCCTGGGCAACAAGAGTAAGATTCTGTCTCAGAAGAAATAATAATAATAATAATAATAAATTATAACCAAGGGGTACTGAGGACTGATTGCAACCCTGAATGCATTCCTCATTCCACATGTAGTTCAGTGGCCTTGTAGTCTCATGACGTCTAAGCTAACTGTTGAAATCATTGGTTGGTCACTAAACTACACAGACAGAAAGATAAAGCCAGGCTAAATTAAAAGCAACTGAGCAGAAACATCAGTGACTGTATAATGCAATGGAGACAAATTACACAGCTGACATCTAAACAAGCCATGAAACAAAAACAGAAAACCATCAGGAAGAAAAACCGTCAGAAAAACAAAAGAAAATCCTAAGCTGCTAAACTATATTATTTAAAACGTCAAGTTTTCAACCAAAAATTACTGGACAGGGAAAAAAGAGAAAAGTGTAACAGCACACAAGAAAAAAAGCAGCCAAAAGAAACTGACTCTGCATGGGGCCAGATGTTTAACAAATAGTTCAAAGCAACTAATATAATTCATAATAATCTGATTCGAAAAAGCCCAAGTAGGAGAAATACAAAGAAAACTACATGTAGACATATCATATACCACTAAAATCCAAAGAAAAATAAATACTGAAAACAGCAAAACAAAATTGACTCATCATGTAAAACGAATGAAACAACCTCAAGACTATTGGCTAACTTCTCATCAGAAACAATAGAAACCTAAAGGCAGCAGAATGACATATTCAAAGTGCTGGGGGTTTAAAAAACCCAGAGAAACAAATAATTCTACAAATGGTAAGATACATTTCAAACAAACAAAAACTGAAAAAACTGTTAGCAGATGTACACTACAAGAAATACCCCTACCATGCAAACACTAATCAAAAGAAAGCTGGGGTGTCTACATAAATATTAGAAAAAGTAGATTTTCACAGCAAGGAATATTACCAGAAATAAAAAAGGGCATTTCATACACATGATCCTAGCCAAAAGACTGAGAAGGAACTGGGAACTTCATAATGATAAAGGAATCGATATATCAAGACATAACAATCCTAATATGCATGTACCTAATAATGATCTTCAAAATACATAAAGTCTAAAAGAACTGAATTAGATAAATGCATAATTATGCAGGGAGATTTCAATATTTCTCTCAGTAAAAGACTAAAAACTAAGAAAGACGGAGGTGTAAAAATATATTTGGAAAATCCCTAAGTACTTGGAAATTTACCAGCATAGTTCCAAGTAATTCATTGGGTTAAAAAAAAAAATCACAAGTGAAATGATTAAAGTTTGAACTAAGTAGAAATGAAAACCTAAAATGTCAACATTTGTAGGAGACAGCTAAAAAGCTTAATCAGTACTCAGGGTGAAATTTATAACTTTAAATGACATTAGAAAAAAATAGTCTAAAATTAATTATTTAAATTTCCAAGTTCATAACCTAGAAAATTAAGAAGAAAAATGTAGAAGATAAAAAGGTTAATAAAATATAAACGAACAACACAGAAGTCAATGAAACCAAAATTATAGGAACAACAAGGATTCTCTTATATTGCTGGTAGAAATGTAAAGTAGTATAACTTTAGGAAAGCTTAGCAACTTCTTAAAAGTTAATGTTACAATATTGTATACCCAGTCATTCCATTCTTAGGTATTTACTCAAGACAAACAAAAACCTGTCCACAAAAAGACTTAAACATAAGGATTCACAGCAACTTTATTCATAATAACCAAACCTGGAAATAAACCAAAGATCCACCAACAAGTGAATGGGCTTTAAAGGTATATACAAAAATACTGAGAAATAAAAATTAGTGAAACATTCAACAATATGGATCAATCTCAATAATGAGAGAGAATGAAGTACTACACGAGAATGCTTACAATATTTGATTCCATTAAGTTCTTGAACTGGCAAAACTCATCTATAATGACAAGATCAGTGGTCATCTGGGCCTAGGGTAGGAATGAACTGACTGCAAAGGGATATGGAGAGAACTTTTTGGGGTGATGGCATCTATACCTTGATTGGGATCATAGTTTCACTGGTTAAAAATCAAACTGTACCCTTTAAATTGGTACATTTTATTTCATAAATTATACTTCAGAGGAAAGGAATTGTTCAGAGTCTGTCACACAAATTTGTCAAGTAAACCCTTTGGCCCATGAACCAAAGTATTTAATTAAAAAATGATCCAAAGGGCAGAACTAATGACAAAACACTAAACCTGTTCAAAGAGTAATTACTACAATAACATACCGTTCTTACATTCTGAATTTTCTTCAAGAGTTTGAAGTACTTAAATTAATGAAAACATGCTTACTTCTTAGTACTGACCTAACACTAACCTGAACCACTGAAATAAAAGTTGGAAATCTGCAGTCTCAACAGAAATGGTACTTGTAATTTTGTTCATATCAACCATTATGTTTCAGAATGAATTCTTCCATTTCCTACAAAAATGTAATTACTCACTGAGAGAAACTAGAATTAAATACAATGACCTGTCAGACAATCATGTTACCTGTGGCAGAAAATGGTCATCTGGATAAACGAACATAATCTTTGCTTTCTGATGTATAAATCTCCTTTAGCAGGTGAGAGATTAGACGGAAGAGAGTAGGAGGATCAACAATGAATACCTAAATAACAAATGTTTAAAGCAAATTAAAATAATTTTCCTAGACTCTAAAGTCTCATTTATGTACAAAACTACGTAATTCAATAGTATAGCAACAATTATTTAACTTAGAGGATGATTAATAGTTAACAGAGAAGTTATTACCAAAAAAACACAAATACAACATGATTAAGTACAGTTAATTTATCCTCAACTCTTAATATAAGCTGTATGTAAATAATGACATTGAGAAATCTTTGCAAGAATAACTGATAAAAGTCAGAACATCATGCCTTCCAATCCATCCTCCATGAACTTCTTATAAAGTGCCATGAATTTGGCCACAAATGCTTCCAGGTGATAAATGGCCTTGCTACCCAGCTGTAGACGATGTTCATAATAAGCTGCCATTTGGGCCACTTCCCCTTTCAGTTGTCCATCACAATTATGTAACAGTTCTAAGAGAAGGCCCTGAAGAAAAATAATCAACAATTTAAAAATCATTAATAAAAATAGCTAAGCATGCCTTATTTCTCTCATTCACAAAAAGTCTAAAGTTAACATACTCTCTCTTATATATGTGAGATCTTTAATTCTTTCATATAAATGAATATCCTCCATCCAAAAGCAAAAACTTTGGTACCTTTTCCATGATGTAAAAATTGGGTGAGTACTGCCGGGCACGGTGGCTCAAGCCTGTAATCCCAGCACTTTGGGAGGCCGAGGCGGGTGGATCACGAGGTCGAGAGATCGAGACCATCCTGGTCAACATGGGGAAACCCCGTCTCTACTAAAAATACAAAAAATTAGCTGGGCATGGTGGCACGTGCCTGTAATCCCAGCTATTCAGGAGGCTGAGGCAGGAGAATTGCCTGAACCCAGGAGGCGGAGGTTGTGGTGAGCCGAGATTGCGCCATTGCACTCCAGCCTGGGTAACGAGCAAAAACTAGTCTCAAAAAAAAAAAAAAAAAAATTGGGTGAGTATCAACCACATTCTAAATTCCAAACAGTAACTGCACAAGGTGAAAGGATATTAAAGATGCACCACTATTTATAACAACAATAATAATTTGTAGACTAAAGTTCCACCAACAGAGGTCATGTTCGGAAAAACTATGATACAGTCACACAACAGAAAAGCATCCACTTAACAGAACAAAGTAAATCTATACATATGGTCATGACACAACATCCTTACTAAAATGAGTAAAAAGAGTGCAGAACACTGAGAAGTTTTGTGAAACTTCATATATACACGTACTTGTTTCTATGAGACTAGAAGTCTGTTAAAAGTGGTTACCTTTGTGGAAATGGAAGGGTGGACCTTCACTTTTTTCTTTGTAGCCCCACCCTGCATTATTATCACTGCACCTTAGTATTTCCTTCATAGCACTTAGAGCATTCTGAAATCGTCTTGCTTCTTTATTTGCTCTCCTTTCACACCACTAGAATATCACTTTGCTGTGGGCAAGCCCTCCCTTCTTTCCTTCAGCATTCCTCTAATAGTGCCTGGCACACAATAGAGGTTTAGTAAGTATGCCAATTAGTGAGTTGGAGAGAAAGAAGTGTTATCTTGGTACTGCAAAAAGCCCTATGATCACACACCCAATGTCCAAATTTTATAGCTGTAAAAAGTTCAAGATCTGAAACTGGGTTACCTTCATTATTATCTCAGGAGGAATACAATGAGTTAGAAGCTCATACAGCCTTCCACGAACTTCAAGGAGCCTATAAAAAACAAAGTGATTGGTATTTTGTGAAGAAAATCAGGGTATTTTTTCCAAGTACCCACTGTATGGTTTTACTTTATGAATTAACCTTCAGAAAGCTCAGGCTTCCATTAAGACTCACGTATTTGAGTCAGCATTTGAATTCAGGCCCAACTCAAAAGCCTGTGATTTCTGACATCCCAAAAATAAAATTTGATTATTAAAGCATAAATAATAAATGACAAATGGTATGAAATTATTTTAATATATGCATATAGCTTATTTCAGAAAAGTTGATTCAGGATGTAGTTACCTATACAACTGAATTAACTACACTGTGTGCGGCGCACACATGTTAACATGTATCTTGTGTTAGTCTGAGTTCACTTCTAATATCACTGTTTTTAAAAATTAACATATTCTACATTTACCATGTCTGTAGCATTATGTTCTAATAGCTTACAAGGGATTAAGAGTACAAAAGTTTCTATCAGAGAAACATGGGTATTCTAGAACTGTGTCTGCCTATTAATAATGGAATGTCTCTGAACAAGTTATTTAATCTCCGTAAACGTCAGGGTTGTTTTTTTGTTTTTGTTTTTATCTACAAAGTTATATTTTTCTCATAGGTCTGTTATATCAATTAAATAAGGAGGTATAAGAGCTAACATAATCATTCATGAAACATTAGCTGCTATTCAAATTAGAAAATGATGACGGTTCTAAGATCAAATGAAAAATCAAGACCATAAATATTTCAGCAAGACAAAGGAGTCAGAAATCAGAAATCATTTGGAACTGTGTGGCCCAATGATCAGAAAGGTATCAGAATTCCAGGATTTCTGGCCAGCCCCAAGCCTTTCTGAAATTGAGCAAAATTTCCTTTTATGTAGCACAATGGAATCAATTCCCACAATTGCTAGTTTGAACAGGAAACAGGAGCATTGCTTCTTTCACAAGTTCACTTATAAGCTGCCAAAATGTGTTAGGAAAACCACAAGAAATTCTAACAGCAGCTAGAAGAATTAGGCAAAGGAATAATCAAGTCACTTTAAAAATGCATGTGATAATTGTCAAATATTACAACATCGAATACCTAAATCCCTTAAAAGTAGGTAAGTTCTACTACTACCAAAATTTCTTCTTTAATATCTGAACAAAAACAAGAAAGTCATCTTCAGTGTAGGCATATTTTATAAACATAAAAGCACCTAAGACATGCTTTATTTGAACTTTATCTCTTTAAAGGGCAAGATCGCTTTATTGATAATCAACATTTTACAAAATAAAATGGGTACTTTTTCCTAAAAATGAAGTTTTTTTCCCTAATGAGACTACTTAAAACATTTGGTACTTCTTGGAGAAAACTATCATTTTCTTCAACTAAAATAATGGAATTCTGAGAATTCAAAGCAAACCCTAAATAAAATACTAACCACCCACTATGTATAATTCACTATCCACCTCTACCAATCTATATGGTAACCAGGGAATACATGTTACAATCCCTTCGAATAATTTCTTATAAAAATTAAACTTCATCAGATGTATCATCAGAAGGAGAAACATGGCATGTTCCTCTCACTATTATTTTCATTAGACCAGGGAAGACTAAGTTCTATTGGCTGCACACAGTCTATTCTGAACCCTAAAATGATCAATTACCTTCTGCAAGGTCCAAAGATCATTTCTCAGTTCAGACAGCCAACAAGGATATGAGACTGCTTTAGCAAGTCTGAAAAACCTTCTCCATACACTCCAAAGTTAGCGGGCCTTAAACTGTCATTTTTTATTTGGAGAAAAGCAAACTGCTTCTCAATCAAAGCTGCCGTAAGTCCAACAACTATCAGCTGAGGTATTTTCAGAACGGTCAAGGTATGAATAACAGACCGACAGAAGTAATGGAAACAATTTCGCAGCAAATATGTCAAAAAATACTTCCTGAGTAAAAATAAAAATAGTATATACACAATGCTATCCTTGGTAGAACTCATGGTCATTTATAACCACAGGGTTTTCTAGTTTTCAAACCATTAATCTTTTGCTCTTCAAAACAAAGGCACAAGTACCCTTGGTGGGTCAATCGTATTATCTTCAATATACAAATGAAGATAAAACTCTAAAATGAAGTTACCTGATCAAGAACACTGAGCTACAAGTTCAGGACAAGAACTAAAAGTCTGATTTATAGTCTGGTGTCTTTCTAGCACATGAGGCATCATCAATTACAAAGTTAATACATTGTCTTTTACCAGAAAGCTACAATCATTATGTCTAGCTTTGTTATGTGTTAATATTAAGTCATCTGAGATCCTGAAAGAAAAATTAAAATTAAAATACATTCTACTTTTACATGATCACATGTAAGCCATAACATTCATGACATTACAGCTTAATAAAAGGCATAGTATCACACACCAACTGTCCTGAACTACTAAATTTCTGAAGTTAAATCCTACCTTTTCCTTAAAAGGTTAATATTTACATTCAGGATTTAATCATAATTCAAAATGACACAGTATTAGCATAAAATAGTTAATATGTGTCCTATTATATCTCAATAATGAAACCTTTACTGTCATCATTTTATACTGGTACCTTTGTGGAGTTTGCTCACTGACAATAGCATTTGCAGTCTCCCTCAGATACACCTCCCAATCTGTCTCAGGGATTTCTTGATCTGCAGTAAAAGGATATCTACATGACAAAGAGAGAACACAAGAAGTTAAAGAGAAGTGTGCTTATGTCCTAAAACAAGAGTGCCCAACCATTAGCCTGTTAGGAACCAGGCTGTACAGGAGGAGGTGAGCAGTAGATAGGTCAGCATTACTGCCTGAGTTCCACCTCCTATCAGACTACTGATAGTATTAGCTTCTGATAGGAGCTCGAACTGTATGCGAACTGCTATGTGAGGGATCTAGGTTGCACACTAAATATGAAAATCTAATGCCTGATAATCTTGAGGCGGAACAATTTCATCCCCAAACCATCTCCCACTCCTGCCCAATCCATGGAAAAATTGTCTTCCACAAAACTGGTCCCTGGTGCCAAAAAGGTTGGGGGCCAAAGTTCTAGAATGTTTCTTGCAGTAACTACCCCTTCCACTCACTGTTGCACTCTGCAGGCTTCACACATAAGCAGGGCTTTTCTGAGATTTCTGCAGGACTTCTCTGCAAGTCTATGAGCCAGTTGTGGAGGAAGATTCAGACCTTCCTTCTTGCACACAGTAGATAACACATGACAAATCTACAAATAAAATTAACGAAAATGGGCAATCCATTAAAAAGCAGAGTGAGACTAATTTCTGTTGATATCTTCCTAGACTCTTATAACTGTATTACACTCAAGATTCTCATAAGTGAAACTTACACTAAAAGTAACTTACCACTCTGCATCTAATACAATGTTACATGTTATCCCTATTCTCTATGAAATCTACCAAAATCTATTAAGGCAGGAAAGATATTTAATGTAAGGAATCATAACTTTCGCTGATGGCTGTTAAGAATGATAGAAAAAAGATATATCTATGTATATATATTAATATTAATGTTATTTCATACTAACTTTAATTCCCTTCCTAGGGACTAGGTATTCCCACATCATCTCTTTGCAAAATCTACTTCCTCGATATTCTAGCCTCTTCTTACAGCCAATTAAATCAGCCTGAGAAAGAAGACAGTAAATGACTAGCCCTTACCTAGTTTAATAAAATTCATAATATATACTTGTTCAAGCCGGGCACGGTGGCTCAAGCCTGTAATCCCAGCACTTTAGGAGGCCGAGGCGGGTGGATCACGAGGTCCAGAGATCGAGACCATCCTGGTCAACATGGTGAAACCCCGTCTCTACTAAAAATACAAAAAATTAGCTGGGCATGGTGGCTCTTGCCTGTAATTCCAGCTACTCAGGAGGCTGAGGCAGGAGAATTGCCTGAACCCAGGAGGCAGAGGTTGCAGTGAGCCGAGATCGCGCCATTGCACTCCAGCCTGGGTAACAAGAGCGAAACTCCATCTCAAAAAAACAAAACAAAACAAAACAAACAAACAAACAAACAAACAAATATATATATATATATATATATATATATATATATATATACACACACATATATACTTGTTCAAGATAAAAGACGGTTTAAAGAGAAAAACACTTTCCATATATTAGCATCTGGTATTTACAACTATACGCATTGGTTTGTGCATGTATTTAATGCTTTGCATCCAGGTCTGTAGATGTTCTTAAATTACCGATGTGCTTCCTTTCTTTTACAACAAGCATACAGTATTCAGAGAATCTGAACTGATTTTTTCAGAAAAGCTTACATCTTCAATGCTGGGAGCAGGCACACGAACTGCTAAGCACCTACTACGAATAGGTGGTATCACTTTAGATGTAGAATTGCAGCACAAGATCAATCTGCAGGTAGACATATATTTTTCCATGGTTCTTCGCAAGGCATGCTGAGCATCTTTGGTGAGTTTGTCAACTTCTGTCAATAATACCACTGAGTCAAAGAGACACAAAACAAACTTTAACTTGAGTTCACTCAAACTTTAACTCGTCTCTTCTTCCTCCTCATCATCCACAGTGAAATACTAAATAATAAGCCTGATATACTATTCTTCCCCTTGGCAAAGATAAGTTAAAGTTATAAGTATGGTAAAATTATTTTATTTTTTAGTTTAAAAACCTGCAGTCGTACTCCAGTTTCTCTTCAGATCCTACAACTCTTTCATCTTTTACTAAGGATTTCTATGGAGAGGAACAGCTCTGAGTTTTTAATTTTTTGAGACCTTGCATTGGCAGGGCTAGTTAAAAAAAAAAAAGAATCTATAATCACACAAGACCAAGAAACACTAGGCTAAATGAAGTTAAAAGGTCACTTTATAGTAGAAATCATTTAAGCCTTTATTATTTATACACACTAAAATTTACCAAGACAAGGATGTGCTGTGCTGCATTTCCCCAAAATAACTTTTCTCGGCAGCACGTTTCTGTGGTACAACTTAATCTAAAATATTAAATTCCAAGAAACAGACTTTGAAAAACAGTGGTGCAAGAGATGATGTAGGCAACAAGGCATAAAGATACCTGGCCACCATAAAGTAAGATTCCATTTGGCCACGATCACAGATCAGACTTAACATGGTTCAGGAATAATGTATAGACAGAAACTGAATCCAATATTGTATTTTTCATTATATTAACAAATTACCTCTAGAAGATGCACTGGCGGCATGTCACATTTGGATGTGTCCAAATATAAACAGAACAACTAAAGATTCCAAAACCAAGAACCCATGAACATTATATAGAAACCAAGCAACAAGCTTTACCTGAGAATCCCAAACATAAGCAAGTGAGAATAAGCAACTAAAACTGGAAAGGCCCACATAGTATCAGCAATGGTGTGGGAGGAAATTCTGACAGCCAGGACAGGAAAAGCTCAAAATCGCCCACAGGAACATACTAGAAACCATCATGGGACCAATCTGAAAGCAGCAGTTGGCTGGGCAGAGTGGCTCATGCCTGCAATCTGCCTATAATCCCAGCCTTTTTGGAGGCTGGGGAGAGCAGATCCCTTGAGCTCAAAGATTCAACACTAGCCTGGGCAACATAGCGAAACACCATGTTTATAAAAATGCAAAAGGTTGCCAGGCATGGTAGTGTGCGCCAGTAGTCCCAGCTACCCAGGAGGCTGAAGTGGGAGGATTGTTTGAGCCCAGGCAGTCAAGGCTGCAGTAAGCTGGGATTGCACCACTGCACTCCAGCCTGTTGCAACGCAATGAAACACTGTCTCAAAGAAAGCAGCAGTCTTACCGAGGTGGGAGACTCAACAGAGCCCAATTTATGGATGAGAGCAAGGGAACCCTGATGCAATAAGGTTTGATAGAGCAGCAGACTCTGAGAATAACAAAATGAAGCTCTCTTCTAAGACAGCATTCCACATGGCCATGGCTGGTGTGGTGGCTTGTGCCATTGTGCGTGGCCGAGCTAGGAGGATGGTTTGAGGACAGGAGTTTGAGACTAAGACAATGCTCCACAATGAGAAGAAATCCCAGAAACAGAATCCAAATTGAGAACAGATAAAAAAGAGACAAAATAAAGAATCCCAACAAATGTGACAAGAGAGTCTCGCTCTGTCACCCAAGCTGGAGTTCAGTAGTGCCATCACAGCTCACTGCAACCTTGAATTCCTGGGCTCAAGCAATCCTCCTACTTCAGCCTCCCAAAGCGCTGGGATTACTAGCTTAAGCTACGGTGCCTAGCAAAAGTTTTAGTATTAGATAAACCAGTAATATAATCTATGATACTAATGAACTAAGAAAAATCATAGAAGCACATTCACAGATGAAAAAGAAACATGAGACAACATTTAACACACATTCATGTTAAAGACACTCAATAAAATAGGAACTTGAGAATATTTTCTTGCCATGATCAAATATCCAGCAACTAACTAACTATGGGGAAACAGGAAGGCTTTCCTTCTAGAGTCATGACATGGACATCTGCAACCTCCATTACTATTAAGCACCCTATTGGAGGACTGGCCAACATAATTAGATAAGAAAAAGTATTGGGCTGGGTGCGGTGGCTCACACCCATAATCCAGCACCCTGGGAGGCCGAGGCGGGCGGATCACAAGGTCAGGAGATGGAGACCATCCTGGCCAACATGGTGAAACCCTGTCTCTACTAAAAGTACAAAAAACTTAGCTGCATGTGGTGGCGTACACCTACAGTCCCAGCTACTCAGGAGGCTGAGGCAGGAGAATTGCTTGAACCCAGGAGGCAGAGATTACAGTGAGCCGAAGATTGCACCACTGCACTACAGCCTAGGCAACAGTGCAAGACTCTGTCTTGAAAAAAAAAAGAAAAGAAAAGAAAAAGTATTTAGAGCCATAAAAATTGGAAAGAAAAAGAAAAAATTATTTACAAATTATATGAATATACATCTAAAAATAACCTCAAAGAAAACTATCAAAAGACAATTACAAAGAGAATTTAATAACATAGCAAGATATAAAATTAAGATATAAATATGAGTAACTGCCACATATATATAAAACATTCAGAAAATATAACCATCCATATATAGTAGTGAAAAAATCATAAATGTAAATTTATTTTGAAATATGCAGACTGAAGAAATCAGCTGTACAGGGAATTCACAAAACAATAAAAATGAGAAACTAAAGAAAAATGTATCACACTCACTGAAGAAGAACAAAACACTACCTTCTCCACTGAAACTGACAAAGATTAAAACGAATTATCTTCAGTATTGATAAACGTCATAGAGAAATAAGCACTCCCAAACACTGCTATTGGTAGTATAAATCTATACCCTCTTTCAGATAGAGAATTTGGCAAAATGTATCAAAAGCATTAAATTACGGCAAATTTATCACAAAATCTCACCAGTAAGAATGTATGCACATATACAGAAAAAATTCTTGGAAGGTAAAGTCTAAACCATTAATAGTAGCTATCTCTGGATGGTGGGAATATAGTTGATACTATTTTCTTTTGTATCTACATATCTGATAATGAACATGTGACTGTGGTCATAAGAACAGTTATTTTAAAATTATGTAATTTCTGATTTTAAATCACACATTTTTACTCATCCTGTTCTAAAATATCAAATGAGTGGCACAAATAATCCTCTTTCACATAAAATTCAATTCCATTAGACTATAAACTCCCATGAGCACAGAGATCAGGCTTCTCTCTTGTTCACTTTCGTAACTTTTTTAAAAAAAACAAAAGAGCACTAATGCTTGGCAGCTGCATGAAAAGAAGTCTTTGGATCACATACCTTTAAAATCCCTTTGAGAGTTTGTTTCAAGTTGTTGTGATTGTGCCACTGTTTTCAACATCTCCTGAATTACTACTCGGTCACTATTTCCAGCATCACTACACAAAACAAAAATAATGGTATACAGTATGCCCTTAATACTGTTATAAGAAAAATGTTGAAGTTCGTAAGTGGTCAAAAAGAATATCACCTAACTCTAATTATAAGCCCTTTAAAAGTAAGAAGTTTCAAGGTCATTAAAAATACTAACAGTATTCCAATTGGATTAACAACACTGAAAACACTAAACGTGTTCTTACATTAAGCCTACTGTTAACATAAAAAGAGCAACTACTAATACTTAGGGCACAGTTTAGCAAATACTTTGATGTTTCCGAACCCACTATTGAAAACGAATACCTAATTACAGCTCATTTCTTAATTATCTATAATTGTTCGAAATACAAAAATAATTTTTTGAAACAGAAATTCAATCCCTATTCCTCTTCTGCATCCCCAGAATAGCAAAGGTCTAAGAGAGAACAAACAAAGAGAAGTCTGCTCCCAGCATTAGAATGGAATTGATTCAGACTCAGTAAGGCGATGAGACAAGCAAATTGAGTTTAAGACACAAGTCAAAACTCTGTAAACTGGTAACTTATAGGAACTGATCTGTCATTTATGCCAATATTATTGCTTTGGCACTTCAGTCAAAGACCTCTCAAACCAACAGAGGTCAATTTAGGCTGAATGAATATTAATTTCAATCACCCCAAAAGCAACTGGCTTATTCTCCAACTGGTAATCCATGCTTCAGAACTCACAATGAGAAAATGAGGTCAAAGCAGACAACTTTATTTTCTCAAACAGCCACTAAGTTTTCCCAAGTCACTACTATTATTATAGATCAATAGACCTATAGTGTGGTTCTTACGATCATTTTCCTAGCCAAGAATCCACAACATTCTCCATTTATTTATGGAATTAACACTCGCTCTGTTTTTATGATCAAACCCATTCCCAACAACCTTATTTCTCTTAGTTTTCTTTGGGATACCTAGAGAAAATAATAATACCTATCTGTTAGTGTTGTTTAAAAGATTAAACATAATAATCCAGGCAAAGCTTCTCACACAGTGCCTGCTACTGAAAACGACATACGTATTAGCTTGCAATGCGATTCTTCCTGCTGCATTCAGTCTCCTCCCTCTCCCTGAAATGGATGTTCACTCTTGCCTCTGTGCCACTGCCCATGTTGAGTTTGCCTGACAATATCCTCAATTCTGTTCCCTTTAAGAACTCATCCAGCCCCACAGATCATTGCAGCTTACCCAATTTAGCTCCCAGAATCATTTCTATACCACTTAATACTTAACACCTGTTGCATGAGTTTTCCATGCCTCTCCAACAAGTTCTTAATTTTATCATCACATGATAGAAAATAAAGATATTGGTTGGTGGACTATTAGAATACCTCTAATCAAGAAACTTAAAGAGAGTGACAAATTAAGATTTGGCAACTCAATTTCTGAAATATTTACTCCAAACATTATAAACTTTTTAAGACACACTGCTCATAAGTAATGAATGAGCCTATATAATTTAACAAAAACTTACTGACAATACAATATACTATGTGTACATCAATGAGTTCCCTAGAGCTAGAAAAGGTAAATATATGGTTGAAATTATTTGACAGAGAAAGCAAAACAGGAAAGGCCCTAGGAATCCCATTTCGAGCAGGGCAGCTCCACTTTAATCTGCTTTATAAACTGCTTCCACATACATCAAATTTATTTCAAAAAAAGGTTTCAATCTGTAAAAAAAAAAAGAAAACCCAAAAACAATTTTTCTAAAAATACTTAATTTCTATATAGTAGTAACTTACCTAGGATTAACTTCAAGGTGGTAGTTACTTGCAATGGTGCTGATTTCAATTTTTTTTTTAGATGGAGTCTGTGGACAAAGAAAAAGATATTTTTCACATTTATCTATTGGCTATTTCCCCACTCTTTTGTATTTTCATTGGCTTCCTTTTATTATACAAAGTAAAACTTGAAATAACCACTATTCATGTTTTAATTTTGTTAATCTCATTCTTTTCTCAATGTGCAGATAAACACGTTTTAATATAAATTGGGTCAAATTACATGTCCCGTTTTATTGTGACTACTTCTTTTCCTTATCTCCAGAAATCCTCAAACCAATTCTGTATACCATCTGATACACATATCACTGGAAACGATCTGTTCCTTTCAGGCTTTTCCATGTTAACACAAAGATAAACATACACAAATGTATATTTTATGGAGTGTCAATGTTTCCTGTACAAAATAAAAACCTTAATAAAAAGGAAATCATACATATGTCTCTCTGTTTTGCTTTTCCTACTTAATATATCTTGGCAATCCCTCTCATTCAACTGGTACAGTGTTATAGTCACACACCAACCTATAGCGTGGATGTTTCAAAGCCAATTATACTGATGGACATTTTGTTTTCTGTACTCAACTCCACAATTAATATCTTTGTGTATATGTTGCATATACTGCTTTCATTTCTATGTAAGAGATTCCCAATAAAGACTTCCTGGATTGAAGGGAATGTGCTTTCTAACTTTAATATAATACATGTGTGTGTGTATGTGCATATGTATAGACCAGTCTGCTTCACAAAACAGTCTAACGATTCACTTTCCCACTGGCAACACTCTTCCCCAACACTCCCCATCTAGAGTACGTCTGATCATGCCTTTCAATTTTTCAGTGTGGTGAGTGTATAACGGACTCACACTGCTTGACTATCACAAAGGTCAAGCATCCTTGCATGTGTTTACTGCCACTTATATTTTTCTCCTGTGACTATCTGTTACAGAAGAATCTATTATTCAGTTTTCTACCAGATTTTCTTTTTGCTGCCAATTTGTAAAAATCTTTTTTTATGCATTCCTTTAAAATGTTTTGTGACAATCTTTCATTTTTCTATTGACTTTATGTATAATTTCTGTCCTATCAATTTTTCAAATTCACGTACATCCAAGTGCCTACTTCTTCTCTTCTCTAGTTTCCATGCTTTCCAAAAGAAGTTTTATTGACCCATGAGCAATTCATATAGTTCAAAAAATTTTACTGTAAGATATTTAGTGTTTCATCTTAACATTCAAGTCTTTAATTCATCTGGAATTTGTCTTTATAAATTGTATGTCGTAGGGACTCAATTTTGTTCTCTCAGGATAGGTAACTAGCTATGATGACATACTCTGCTGGCTCATCCTCTTCCACTGATTTGAAATAGAAACCCTACCGTATTTCTAAGTTCTCTTTCCAGTTTCACTTGTCTGATTCTCTTTCATGCCAATATAATACTGTTTTATATGTACTAGTTATACACTAAGATTTAATATATGGTGACACAAGCCCCACTTCACTAATCTTTTTTCATAATTAATTTAGCTAGTCTCAGAAATGTACTGTTCCATATGGATGGACTTTAAGATCATTTCACAGAATTATAACAACCACTTGAATTTTAATTAGAATTACATTGATATTTAGTGTCACCTGAGGCAAAAGATAATTTAAAATGTTAAGCCTCTGTCTGGGAACATGCTGAAACATTCTATTTGATTGGCTACTTATTGTCCCTCTAAAAGATATTAGTTTCTTCTGGCAGATCCCACACCACTTTTGCTAAACTTGTCCCTACATATTTTATAAGAATTTCCACCAAAACATACAACCAGCATCTCAAACTCAATGTGTCTAAATATATGCTAATCTACATTAGCCTAAAACCCAGTTACCTTCCTGAAGATTCTGTTAATAGCACTACCATCCACAGTCAGCATATGTTTTTTTCCAATGACTAATTATTAAAGACATTCTACCAGAGGCTATGGATATGAACATGAATACAACATGTTCTCTACATACAGTCAAAACAAATACAATCTTGTTAACGTAGAAGATGTATAAACTACAACAACCAAAGCAAAACAAAGTAAATAGTACTAAAAGTATAAATGAGAAGTTGTAGAAGAAAAGTTAATTCTAATGCGGTAGGAAAAGGAAGGCTACGTGTCAGCTAGATCTTAAACATCATCCATAATGGAAGAGCATACAACTGTGGCACACAGTATGAAGCTGGACATCTCGCCAAGGGCAAGATCACAGGAAGCCTCTCAACATCCCTGAGTTTCAGGCCTCCTCTTCCAGTCCATCAGCTGCCACTCTTTACCAAGTCATTTGATACCATGTTTAACATTTTGCCTCAAAATCATTCTCTTTCTTTCCATTCCCACTACTGCTCTCAGAATAAAGTTTGGAAACCTGAGTTCTAATTCCAGCTAAGACACTGTCTTATTAGGTAATCTGAAATTAATCTCACCCTCTACATTTTACCCTAACCCCCTTGTTGCTGTTATTTCCTATCTAACGTAAACGGCTTTGCTCTGGCTATAACAGGTCCATAAATCAGTAGCTCTCAAATCCCGTGCCCCAAGATTACCTGTGGAATTCTTATTTAAATCATACGTTAGGAAGCATCTGGGTTATGGGGGCATACATGACCAAGACTGAAAGTCCCTACTATGAATTACTTTCAGGGCCTCAAAGTGAAATGCTTACTGTGATAGTCTGATGTTCAATTCTCAATTTTTCCACTCCAGCACCATAAAGTTCACGTAGAATACACATAATTCTTGTCTTTTTTCCAGCACCTGATGGTCCATATACTAAAAGATGAGGGAAGTCACCACACTGTACCTGGAAAAAAAAAAAAAAGACATTTTTCCCTAGTCAAACTGAACTGCTCTAGGTAGAACCAAACTACTTTTTAAGTATCAAATATTTTATGTGTCTACCTATGAAACTCCAAGTTCATGGATAGATATACCCAAGTTATGTATGTGTAAAACTTGGAGTTTGATGGGTGGATACATAAAATATTGTGTATCTTTTGATATATTCTGAAATGTTTACAATTCACCTGGCACTAATTTTGTATAACTTATATACATGACACAGTACATGCAAGATACAAAACTAAATGCTAAGAAAGCAGAACTCCCAAACCTGGCTATCAGAATCTCCTAGAAAACTTTTTAAAATAAAGGACTGGCTGATGAATAGACCCTATCACCCATGAGATTAGGATTCAGTAACTCTGAGATCCAGGCCTTTCTTAGTTTGGACTATTAGAAACAGTCCCTGTGATAACAATTCAGTGCATTTGGTTTCTTTGGGAGGTTATTTGTGAGATAAAGGAAAACTCATAGGAGAGTGGGGATGCAAAACAGGCAAAGGCCGGCAGCCAGTAAGAGGGCGTTGTGAAGCTGAATACCACCAGGCATCTTTCTTTAATACTGCTAGGGAAACTCTTAAAGCCAACAGAAACATCCACTACAGTTAACCCACCTAGGGGATGGGGAAGCTGCAGTATAATTATCTCTGATTAGTTCTTTCTTGAAGCCCGCTTAGGAAAGTAGATGGGGGAAAGAGACAGCATTAATTCCAGGCATTTCAAATCTGCTTATGGGTGTCAACGAGACAAAAACCCTCAGGTAAAGTACAGAAGTACAAAGTTAGTAGTCAGAAGTCAGTCTGTGTGCACTTAAAAGCAAGAGGACCGGGTACAGCACTAACAGTATCCGCTGATGATGAGTTTTGCAAAAGCTTTTCAGGTCTTTCTGATGATCAGTCTGGTTTGGGAACCAGTACTATGAAGGCTATAAAGATGACTGGGTGACAGACCTTAGCCTCAGAAACATAAAATCTTATAAAGCAAAGTTCTACAAATAACCATTACTGAAAAAGTGGGATACATATCTTAACAGAGGCGCTTATTGCAATGAATTTTAATACTTTGTAAATTCATCCATCTCTGTCACTGAAAAGTCTCAAGGAGAGGAATTCTTCAATCTAACAGGGTCTGGAAAACGGCAGCTCTCCCACAGACACTTACTGCCTTTGTTTTTTAAACTTCAATCTAACCAAAATAGGGTTACGCTTTTAATGTCACATAGTTTTATTAAGCTGCAAGTAAAAGAACAGATGAACATTTTTTAAAAGCAAATTTAACACATAAGACCAGTATATTAAATTGGTGTCCAAAACTACATTCCAAATTCTGTACAACAAAAAGTGGCCACAGAAAATAAAATGTATTCTTTGACTAGGAAAACTGAAGACAAAGCTATTGTGGAAAATGTAATTTGTCTATAAATGAAGGATACTGCAGTAATTTACTTTAAATTAGTATAGATGCAGTATTAATAGAGACCAAAAAAAAAAACCTTTAATCTCACAACACTATCAACTATTCTAATGACTTTCATATATACAGTCTTTTCTTATTATCTCTTATTTTTAAGAAGCACTTAACAATTAAATAGTATCTGTACATCTAAGAAAGCTCAGTAAGGGAAAACCAGGGTATTGGGCAAAAACGTTTCCATCAGCATCATATATTAATTTGGGGTCCTTAAAAGGAGTGGATAAACGTCTTCCACAGACACTAAGTAACTTATTCTCCTAAAGATACTTCTTTCCTCTCTACACCCTGAAAGGTTCAGTTTCTTCCTCACAAAACATTGCCATTAGACACTTTTATCAACTACAACAGACAAAGAGGCGTAAGGACAGAGGCGAGGAAATCTTTCGTAAAGAACTTATCTCAGCCAGATGCAGTGGCTCACACCTGTAAGTCCAACACTTTGGGAGGCCGGCGGACGGATCACCTGAAGTCAGGAGTTCGAGACTAGGCTGGCCAACGTGATGAAAGCCTCTCTCTACTAAAAATACAAAAATTAGCCGGGTGTGGTGGCAGGCGCCTGCTATTCCAGCTACTCAGGAGGCTGAGGCAGGAGAATAGCTGGAACCCGGGAGGCGGAGGTTACAGTGAGCCGAGCTGAGATCATGCCATTGCACTCTATACTGGGCAAAAAGAGCAAAACTGTCTCCGGAAGAAAAAAAAAAAGAACTAATCTCAGGAACGTCCTAATACAATTTACCTGAAGATTAGAAATCTTTGGAGCAAATACACATTTACAACACTTTCCTTGTAAATAACGACACTGACATCGAGAAATTTTAAGCCAGTTAAAAGGCAAATCACATGGTGTCACCTCTGCTCAAAATGCTCCAATGGCTTCCCATCTCATTCTGAGACTTACTGGCTGTGTACCCCCAACTCCATCCCAACACATGCATCCCATCTCCGATTACCCTTCCTGCTGGTTCAACATGATCGGCTCCACCAGCCTCCTGAGGTTCTTAGAATATGCTGTGCACATCCCTGCCCGGGGATTTTGCACTTGCTGTCCCCTCTTACCTGTTCCACTCTTTGCTCAGATTTCTGTATTTATGACTTTTCCATTTCCTTCAAGTCTTGGCTCAGAGGCCACTTCTCAGTGGAGCTTTTCTAGTTTAAAAGCAAAAGCCCGTCGCCCACACCTTTTCCCCCTTCCCTGTTTTATTTTTCTCCATCTTACTTATCACCTTCCACTGCGGGAGGGGGAAGCATTGCTCCTCAAGGGCGCGAAACCCCCAGCCCGGGGCTCCCCTCTCCCACGCTCCCGGCCTCCGCGGACTCACCAGGTTACGCAGCTGAGCCGCCTGCTCCTTGTGATAGTCCAGCCGTCCCAAAGAGCAGGGCCGATACTTATCCACCCAGAGGCTCATGGCAGCTCCAGTTCCCGGGTTCCTACGCTTGAAAAGTCCCGCGCGAGCGCGCGTTCTTCCCGACCACACCGAGACAAAATTTCCCGCGAGCGCCAAGTCTCGTGACGTCACTACCGGTCGCGGCTGCGTAAATGATTCGCGACGGAAAGGCTACGGGAACCGTTTGCAGACAAAATCAGCTGCCGCGTCTGCGCCGTCTAGTTCTGAAGTTCACTGCTTTCTTTTCTATTTGTCCACATCCTCTGTTATATTCTAGAAATTTTCAAGCAGAATTGAAAATGTGATTCTGACCTGTTGGCGTCAAATCCAGATACCTCAGGAAAGACATTTCCTCGATGCATTTCATTTATTCATTCTTTTATTCGCTCAATTAATTATACAAAAATTTACTAAATCATCTGCTAGGTGTGGACTCTGTCCTCGGCACTGGAATATATACATCTCGGGGTTTCACTCAGTTGGCAGGTGCCGAATACATAAATCTTCATTCAATAAATTACTTTAAAATGTCTGATCTTCACTATGCTTCATTACCTCTGTTCCTCAATATTCTTACTGAATTAGAAATAAGAATCAAAAGCATGGAAAAAATACAGAAACGTGGCCTGGAGGAGAGAAGACAAGAGGTTAATATGCTACTCTAAGACTAGAATATTTTAAAGTCCTCCGATTAAAATGTGGAGAAAAATCTGAACGCCTCAGAAAAATATTCTGCATATGAAGCTTGTATGCAACTTCTGAAGTTCTCTTCATATTATGCCTCTCTAAATACGATTTACTCTTTATGCATAATATTAATTCCTTATTTAATTTATGCTTTTATGTATTGTTGAGAGTTACATATCTGAACTTTGCAGATTTCACCTTGTTAATCTTCAGAATCATAAAATATAAACTGTTGCACTTGAGCATATTACAAACCATCTATTTTACTTAGACTTTTATATAAGAAACTAAAATTCTAAAAACAAAAAAGCGCTCTACTTTATGATTTAACCGTGCTATATATTTAACACATCTTCAATTGCCCTTGCTACCTTCTTAAAGGTAATAGGTTAAAATTGAAAACATTCATTCACAGACATTTAAAAGGAAAATTTATTTTAAGTGAAATGGCATGAGAGACCAATTAAAATTTTAAAACACAAAATGTGATTAAATATCCTGTAGGTAAAAACACAGGGCCTTTATTCCTTTGGGGCTTGGTCTCTCTTGTCACTGATGTTATTATCATCTTGATGTTTGAAATATGACTAATCTATGGCCTGTAAGAGACAAACCTTGAACACAGGAATCCCACAGTGAAGCAAAGCAAGAGGATGACCCAGGCAATAGAGACAGAACAAGCTTGGAAAACCACCAGTACAGGCAGAAGCGGGAGGATGACCGTCCTCAAGAAGGTAAAATTAATACCCGATATGCTTGTAAATACTGAGATGAGACTTACTCCTGAAGATATTTTGGTAATAAATTAGCAGTATGTGTGTTAAATAGTAAGTCAAAGAGAAAACAAGACAATTATTAACAGCAGAGTACATAAAAGGTATACACAGTTGTTCCTCTGTATTCACGAGGAATTGATTCCAGAACTCCTGCAAATCTCAAAATCCATGGATGCTCAAGTTCCTCATATAAAATGATGTAGCACCTGCACATAGTCTACACACATCTTCTTGTACACTTTATATTTATATTTTAACCTGCAGAATCTCTAATGGATCCAAGTTAGCTTGAGCCCTATATTTGCTTATGTATGTGATAAAGAAGTCTGGCATTCCAGTATCATTGCTAATGGAGTTCCAGAGTAAGAAATCACTGAATCTATAATGACTCTATGATCATTTTCAACAATATTTCTGTGCAGAAGTCTAGGCAGTATACCAAAAGGAATTTTTCTGCTTAAATGGCTGCTACACTCTATGTTACTTATTCATTTTGGTGAAATTTGTATAACTATGTTGCTCTCTCTGGCATTAAAAGAAAAGCCTACTTTTCAATTATCTAAAGTCATCTTTCTTCAGATGTACACATTGTTCTCTGTCAGCTGTAATATGCCCTTTGTATCAAACTCCCTGCAAAAATGTCAGAACCTGGAGCTTTTAAATCCCTTATGCTATAATTACCTCTTGTTCAGAGTTGCTCTCATGATTTTGCTTGTTTTAATATTTTGTTGTTGTTACTATTTATAACTGCCTGCTACCACAATAGTAATAATACTCTCTCAATCACCTTTCTTCTGTAAAAATTCAAAATAATACACATTTAATTAGGAGATATCTAAATAGTACCTTTTCTCTGAAAACTGTAGATTTCATTTTAAAATATATTGTGATAATGAGTAAGAGAAGACAGTAAGGATCAGAGAAAAGAGTGAAATACAGATAAGAATTCCAGTCAGCTGTAGAAAACTTCAGAATTTAATTATGATGTTCTTCTACAGAAGGACCACCCTTGAGTACTGTCAATGAGTAAATTAGTTTATGCATATCATGAAGCAGGTTCAAGATGAATTAGACACAAGCTCTGTTCTCAAGGAGCTTATGGAATATGTGCAAATAACTCTCATGAAAGCAGTAAGTGATAAATGCCTTAATGGAGGTTCAAACGTCTTTATAGAGGCTCAAGTTCAATTACAGTTTGACTGACTTGGGAAGGCTTCATGGAGGGCCTAGCATTCGAGCTGGGTTTTGAAGGACACGTAGGTAGGGTTACAAAAGCCATCTCAAGGGAGGATATTCTTGGTTTAGGGGACTGTAATGAGCAAAGACCAAAGGCGTCAAAACACAGAGCAGGATTTTCTGATGGTAAAAAGTATAGATAACAGAGAGGTGGGAGAGAGCACTGGGGAGAACATTTGGGGCAAATGTTGGAAGATGTTTAAATGGCATCTTTTAATGAGTTTGCCTTTATGCATACACAAGAAGCCATGGGAGGAATGATATATTTTCTTGCCTATAGGAAAAGCTTAGTAAACACTTGCTGAATTCAATGGTGACATCTGGATTTAGGAAGATGAATTGTGTGAATAGACACAAATAAGATATGGGGAGTGAATTATTAAAAGTAAAGAGACCTGCCAGAAGATTCACAATTAGTAAGAATTGACTGAGATTCCACCCAGAGACTAACCCCAGAGTCCACCTGCTCTAGCACTGTGTACACACTGCCTGCCCCGGCTCTAGCCTCATGATATTGAATACCACATTCTAAGCACTTCACCTGTGTTATTTTAGCCTCCTAACAATCCTATGAGATATTTACACCTCTTACTGAAATAGGCCGGGCACGGTGGCTTACACCTGTAATCCCAGCACTTTGGGAGGCCGAGGTGGGTGGATCACAAGGTCAGGCGATCGAGACCATCCTGGCCAACATGGTGAAACCCCATCTCTATTAAAACACAAAAAATTAGCCGGGTGTGGTGGCGCATGCATGTAGTCCCAGCTACCGGGGAGGCTGAGGCAGGGAAATCGCTTGAACCCGGGAGACATAGGTTGCAGTGAGCCAAGATCGTGCCACTACACTCCAGCCTGGACAAGAGAGAAACTTCATCTCAAAAAAGAAATAAAGAAACTGAGGAATAGAGATTTAAAATTATCTAACAAGTGATGGTGCAAGGATTTTCAAACAAGTCAGTCTCAATTCCACCACCACTGGGCCGACCTAACCACTGTACGTATTCACTCGGGCTGTGCCCCACACCTTGACACATCATGGTTCCTGACTCTTACCCACCAGTAATACTGAATGACTTGTGGTTTCCAGGAAACTCCAGCTTGCTGATATTTCCATCTCTTAGCATATGATGTTCTCTCTTCCTTTCTACTCTCCACTCATCCCATACTGTAGTTGCTCCATGAGACCTCCCTTGAGGCCTCCAGGCAGGCTCAGATAGTTTTTCTCTTATGCTTTTTACATCTTCTACAGATACCTAATATTGCTATTTCTACATAGATTTGTAGTCAATTATTTTTTTCTGTTTAGCTTCTTTAGATTAATGTGGCTCTATGCCGTGCTTAATATCAAGACATCCTCAAGAGCTTTTTAGAGACAGAGATTCCCAGGCCTTGCTCCTGAGAATTCTAATTCAGTATGTCTAGAATGAAGTATGGGTATCTGCCTTTTTTAAAAACACTGAAGCCTTTCTGACTTGTCACACAGTTGGAGAATCACTGCATTGTGTTGTCAAGTTCCTTGAGGATCATCTTTATATCCCTAACATCTATCCTGGTGCCTAGAACTGTCAGGGCTGAATTCATATGGAACAAACAGATGAATAAATGTGGGGTTTGAATGAATTATAGAAATAGTAAAATTTTTATTAACAGGAATAGGGCAAACCAGAAGAGAAATTTACTGAGGCATGGAGAAAGTAATGAGACTTGTTGCATGCAAATACTCAGCAAGAAACTGAGACTATGGAAATATTATTTGGGAGATGTAGATTCACATCCATCGACATAGAGGTAATGAGTGAGCCTGGGAATTTGGGTACATTTTCCAGTCACTGTAGACAGAAAAGAAATTGAACCAATAGTTGAAACTGGGGAATCTCCATATTTAGCAAACATGAAGGATAGAAGAAAATAATGCAGCACCTAATTCTACCACATTGATTGGCAGCAACAATCATGGTAGTATCAGTAAGCATGAGAGTCACGACTTTTATGGAGTGCCTAGTCCATGGAAGTCTTGTCAGGAGGGGCTCCATACACATCCACATTAAATCTTCATAACAAGCCTAGGAGCTAGATTATTTTTATTTTCACTTCACAGATGAGAAAACGAAGCTTCAGAAAAGTTGATCGACATGCACTAAGTCATACAGCTCAACATGGTGGAAACGCGGAGAAGAAGATGCCAGACTTGATGAACTTTGAGGGACCAGTTTGAAAGATGTGATAGAGCTGAAACCAGACAACGATGTGTCTTGGTTGAGTGGACTCTAGAATCTCTGGCACTCCTGCCCCATGTATTAATTCAAAGCCATTACAGGCGTGTGTTTTACATAGAAAGAAGGGATTGTCCCAAGACTTGGATAGAGAAATAAAAGCATAGGATAACCTGCGGAGAGGAGCATAAAGAGAGAACTCGCCTCAAAGAAAGCAAGATCCTAGCATGTCAAG